TGATTACTGTGATTAATTTAATTTAATTTAATTTGATATACGCCTAGACAACTTAATTAATAAATTATTAAATTTTAATTTCTCTATTTAGTAGCCTACCAGTTGTAGTCCTGAAGCACTATTGAATCATACTGAATTCTAATGGGTAATTGGACAAGGATACTGACTAATTGTTACGAAAACCCAGTAACAGGCTGGATGCTAGAAGGGCAGTCCTTTCTAGTATTCACTGGAGATCTCTAAGCTTTTAGAATCGCGTTTTTTGTAACACTCTTTACTTTCTGCTCGTCTCTATCCTCTGGAAGTGTCTCTGGGCCAGGTAACTGGTCAATGGGCCTCACCCCTCCTCCCCCAACCTTATGCGCCTCATCCACTATCTCACTCCATAAAACGACCACGTCCTCCTTGACGTCGTTGATCATCACCTGCTCCCTCCGGTGTAGAAGCGGATGCCTCTGCCTCTGGGGCCAGGAGCTCGTTGCCGCTTTCCCACATGCCGCCACTATGTGATCATATTCCCCACATTGTCAGCAATGTACGTCTTTGCCCGGCATAACGAAACCATGACTTGTGTCCTGAATTCCTGTAGGTACACATAGGATGGTATGGGGTGTTGCAATGTCATTTTTAGGTTAAAAGTGCCTTCCGACAGACCTGCATAGGCACCCGTCACCCACGTACTATGCTGGGCCAAATGAACAGTCCCATATTCCTCAAAAACTCTTCTGATGTCTGTCTCATCAGCCTCAAAGGGGACATTATGCAATTTGATCCATGTATAATGTCTGGATATATCGATCATCCTCACACAAACAGCTGGTGTTGCATCAAGACTTACGTCCTGAAAACGGTAGACCAACGATTCATAGACCTTTGCTGAGAGCAATTTCACAAAAATTCTATGTGCTCCGTTTAAGGCTACCCCGTACAACTCTCCATCCTGAATGCCATACGTCTCTCTGATGATTTTAGGTAGTAATACTTGGGCTGAAACTGGCGTTATTGCCCCTCGGAGAAGCTCAACGCCGACAGTGTTGATCCTGCATCTATGACTAAACGCCATGTTGACTGATGGTAGTTCTCCCCCTTTTTTGATGGCAGAGACGCTACAAGCACCACCTCACACCACTGCAGTCAGGCAACTGAGGAGCGTTTGCGCAGTAGGTCCACACGGCCCGAGAGTGATGAGGACAATGCAGGAGTCATTTGATCTCATCGTCTACCCTCTTACATCCTCTCTAAAAGTCTCAACAACCATCTCAACAACCCCTCCTCAGCCCTCTGGTTAATACTTTTAGAAACCTCGCACCTCCTAATCTCCATGCTACAGATTTTCAGCATAATATTCATACTACATATTGCCCTCTGACACGACATCACCACTGCTTCCAGCCTTCTTCTTGTTGCATCTTTCACCACCTATTCTTCATTTTGGGGCGCTTTTTGCCTTGGATCTGGCATATGAAAATAGATATTTCAGATTTCTTACAATTTAATTAAATGTAAAGTTCCTTCTGTCTCTCCTGGATCCTGTATGATAACCATACCACGGGCGGGTTAAAAACCCGAGATCAGAGAGCTCAAAACTCCAGAACATGGCATGGTTGTTTTGAAATTTCGTGTCTTTACGATTTCGTGAGTCATCCTGTAAGATTCCTGTAGCTTCACTTCAAGGATTTTTATTTCCCCTTTCCCAGTGCTTTCTTCCGCATTTCAGTTTAAATTGGCCCCTTGAAAAGTTCTTTGTCTTCGCCTTTTGAGATAGCATCTTTCGTTTTTCCTTAAGGGAGTTTTACTTTAAGCATACTTTGAGTGCCACGAGTTTATTCTTTCTATGTTGTTTAAGATATGTTCTCAGAATGTTCATTAGGGACATTATTAATTTGGTCCCAATGGGTGTTCTTGTTCTTAAAGTTGAATTTGGTGAAGGCACGTTCATAACTGATCACATTTCGCTGGTTAGTGCCCCTGTGCTTACAAGTCAAGACTTCGATTAGGATGTGATCTGAATTAATTTTCTTCGATTTTTGTATTTTCCAGTCAATTTGTATTTTCCAGTCTTGTTGGCTCCACTATTTGCTGGATTTATAACGGAGATTCAACAGCTCATTTGTGTAAGAAATTTTATCAGAGCTGCCTCCTGGGATTATTTCTGCTATAACATTATTTATCATGTTCTTCCATTATAAATGTCTTAAACTGATATCACCGAGCAACATGGGGATGGAAGATGGCTGGGGATGGAAGATGGCTGGGGATGGAAGATGGCTGGGGATGGAAGATTTTCCAGATAGCAATAAATTTTCATTAGCTGTTCTTTGAACTGTTGGGAAGTTGCATCTGGTAGCTTATATACAACCACGATGACTAGGTTTTGGGTCTTAATTTTTACTGCCAAAACATCAACTACATCATCTGAGATGTTAAGAAACTCTATGCAAATGCAAATGAGAGACTCTTTGATGTATAGGCCAAACCCTCCTTGTTGTCTGTTCTTTCTGTCGCATCTAAATAAGTTGTACTCTGATATCCATATTTCGCTGTTTATGTGGGTCTCTGTGGAAGCCAGTAACACTGCATTTGACTCCGTGAGGAGTCTTCTGACGAAAGAAATTTTGTTGTTGGTGGATAGTTTAAGGTCCTGTATGTGTGATAAATAATGGTTTAGAAAACCGACAAATTAAGGAATGAGACGCTTATGAAACATATGGGAATCTTTATTGAGGAAACGTTTCCCCACACAGTGCCTTCATCAGTCCAATACAAAGGAAAAAACGGTGTAAGGAGGGGAGGAGTCTGGGAATCAATCAAGACTGATGGACTGAACACATCAGTTTCAGGCTGAAGGAATGACTGCCTGAAACTCCTCCTCTCCTTACGCCGTTCTTCTTTGTACTGGACTGATGAAGCCACTGCGTGGCGAAACGTTTCTTCTTTAAATATTCCCATATGTTGCATAAGTATCTCATTCATCAAGGCCCTGTATATTTGCAAATATGAATGATGTCATGTTGCATTTTATTAGGTCGTCTTTATTTGTTGACATTAATATCTGAGGTTATGGAGTGGAAATAACTGACAGTGCCTAGTGTCCAGCAAGGTTTTCGTCATTTTTTTTGTTTCCTGACACTAAGTAAAACTCATTCTCTTCAATGGTTACAACTACCTTGGTTAGTTTTCCAAGATTTATAGGGTCTGTACCACATGGATTGTCAAAGTTGAACATCTCATTTTTTTTTAGATATTCCATGATTGCAGATACCACAAAAATAGAATCTGCACAATTCTGATTTTTTTTTTGGCTAAGATATGTGGGGTTTAGATTCTCAGTGGAGCATTTTCTGGATTCGGACAGCACTGTTTTCAGCTCCTGTACCAGAGTCAGTCGCATCACCAGTTGTTTCTATAGGTATACCAACAATATTCCCTAAAGTAAGATTCGAGCCGGTAACACCACCAGCTGAAGCACTATTTTGTGCTTTTAGAACCGTATTTGTCTTTAGAAACATCAGAACTATCATCTCAGCTGGCACACTGTCTCACCTTTCTAAATCTGTGAAAGCAGCATCTTCGAAAGCATCACTAGGGCCAGCAACAGCCCCAGCTGAAAAGCTGATTTGCACCACTGAGATTGCCTTTCTTGCTGTGATCTGTACTTGTGTTCCTTACTCTTTTGTGTTGATGTGCAGTTTTATTCCTTGCACATCCTCATTATGTTGCATCTGTGCCTCTTTTATACTTGTTACGTTACGTAGGTGTTTCTGACGCCGCTGTAATGTTAATTTAAGCTGCGGTCCTCTTCCTAGTGCCCGTCTCATTTTTTTCATTTTCCAAAATTTCATATAAAAACTGGCATTTTCTCCCAAAAGGAGATTTTTTTTGTGAGTGCTTCTGACGTTTACTACGTATGTAATGCTCTCCCACCGTCGTCTGTCTGTCATGCAGACCCTGAAACATTTCTTTGATTAAACATCACATTGCTGGCGGAGGTGGAAATATTAGCGCATGAATCATGACACCGCCCATGGTACAAGTAGCACTGTATCCCATATACATTTCGCTTGAAAGCATTGTTACACTGTGATACTCACCGTACCACACAATACCTTGACACCCAGCTAACGCAAGGCGTTTTTTGGACCAAGGCAGCCAGCCTTCAGGCAGGTGGTTTTAAGTTTTTCATCTCATCCCCTGCATGCATCGACCGACGAGAGATTTTTACAATGTTTAGAATTCGCAGAGCAGGCGAAATATTCACAAACACTAATCTCAGGTCGAAGGAGACTCGAACCTCCGATTCTTGAAACAAGGTACGCAGTGCTCTACCACCGTACCACACTGGTCCAGTAACTTGGCGCACTGCTAACGCTATATGCTATATGCTGTATTAGCCTGTTCTACGAATTCTAAACATTTCTATGTATGTATCTCGGTGTATATGCACCAAGATGTGTATATATCTCGGTGCTTTTATACTGACAGGTATATATTTCAGTGCATATATATCGACAAGCATATTTCTTAGGACTATGCACAGATGTCTATTTCTCTGGGTTTATTCACTGATAGGAGTATGTCAGTGTAAAAATGTATACAGTGACATACAACCTAAATGACCCTCGTGTAGTTATAACGAGTTAATCCTGATAATCTAACTTTTGAGTATTACGAAATATTCAATGGAATACTCGGTTGTAGGTTAGAAAGTCACACGAAAAGCTTAACCTATCTAACTTAACCTATCTTGGTCTAACCTAACCAAACCTAAGATAGCCTAACTTAACCTAACCTAAAGTAACCTAACCTAATTTAACCTTACCTAACCTGACCTAACTTAACCAAAGTAACCTAACCTGATTTAACTTAACCTAATCTAACGTAATCTAACCTAACCTAACCTAACTAAACCTTACCTTGTCAAGTTCCCTCTGACTCTTTTCATTTGACTTTTTTTCACTGTGACTTTATTTTGGTTTACCGAAAACTTTTCCTCTGAGCAGGTGAAGGTGACAGCATCGCAAGGTCACCTGGAGCTGGAGGACGAGGCAGTGGGAGAAGTAAGCCAGGTGCTTCATCGTCACCTGCTGGGTCCCGGAGTGCGCCGTGTACCTGTTCGTCACGGGCGGGTGCGAGGCGCCCTCTACCTGCCCGCTGGTCCCGGTCCCTTCCCTGGTGTGGTAGATGTCTTTGGAGGGTTTGGTGGCCTTTTAGAGTACAGAGCAGGTAAGTGCTACATCATCATCATTGTCGTTGTCATTATCATCATCATCAATAATCACCGTAGTCGTTAAGGCGGTGAACACCTAGTTTGCCAAATTCAGGGTTGACAATAAATATATTCAAAGTACATAAAGTATTAATGCAGCTTCAAGAGCAACACTCAACCTGGTCTAAAGTTTAGGACAACTTGTCATCCTACTTTATAATGGTAAAAGTCGTGTGTTTCCAATGTCTGAGAGAAGGGTGATAATTTCCGCCTTACACATACAAAGGCACACTTGCACACATACATACATACATACACACATACATACATACATACATACACACATACACACACACACACATACACATGCATACACACACACACATACAAACACACACACACACACACACACACACACATGATTGGAGAAAGAGACTACATTGTAGGTACAATTCAGTCCGGAGAACATAAAGTAGTCATTGGAGTGATGTATAACCCACCACAGAACTGCAGGAGGCCAAGAGAGGAGTACGAAGAAAACAACAGGGTGATGGTGGACACACTGGCTGAGGTGGCAAGAAGAGCTCACTCGAGCAGAGCAAAGTTACTGGTAACGGGCGATTTCAACCACAGGGAGATCGACTGGGAAAACCTGGAGCCACATGGGGGTCCCGAAACATGGAGAGCAAAGATGATGGATGTGGTACTTGAAAACCTCATGCATCAACATGTCAGGGACACACCCAGAGAGAGAGGGGAGGATGAGCCAGCAAGACTGGATCTTGTGTTCACCCTGAGCAGTTCAGACATCGAGGACATCACTTACGAGAGGCCCCTTGGAGCTAGCGATCATGTGGTTCTGAGTTTTGACTATATAGTAGAGTTACAAGTGGAGAAGGGAACAGGAACTGAAGGGGACAGGCCAAACTACAAAAGGGGGGACTACACAGGTATGAGAAACTTCCTGCAGGAGGTTCAGTGGGACAGAGAAATGGTAGGAAAATCAGTAAACGAGATGATGGAATATGTGGCAACAAAGTGCAAGGAGGCAGAGGAAAGTTTTGTTCCCAAGGGAAACAGAAATAATAGGAAGACCAAGACGAGTCCTTGGTTTACCCGAAGGTGTAGGGAGGGCAAAAGCTAAGTGCAACAGAGAATGGAAAAGGTACAGGAGGCATAGGACCCAGGAAAACAAGGAGATTAGTAGAAGAGCCAGAAACGAGTATGCACAGATAAGGAGGGAGGCCCAGAGACAGTATGAAAACGACATAGCATCGAAAGTCAAATCTGACCCGAAACTGCTGTATAGCCACATTAGGAAGAAGACAACAGTCAAGGACCAGGTGATAAGGCTGAGGAAAGAAGGTGGGGAACTCACAAGAAACGATCAAGAGGTATGTGAGGAGCTCAACACGAGATTTAAGGAAGTATTTACAGTAGAGACAGGAAGGACTCTGGGGGGACAGACCAGATGGGGACACCAACAAGGAATACACCAACAAGTGTTGGACGACATACATACAGATGAGGAAAGGGGGTAAAGAAACTGCTAAGGGACATCGATACCTCAAAGGCAATGGGACCGGACAACATCTCTCCATGGGTCCTTAGAGAGGGAGCAGATATGTTGTGTGTACCACTTACCACAATCTTCAACACATCCCTGGAAACTGGGCAACTACCTGAGGTAAAGGAAGACAGCAAATGTAGTTCCCATTTTCAAAAAGGAGACAGAAAAGAGGCACTAAACTATAGACCTGTGTCATTGACGTGTATAGTATGCAAAATTATGGAGAAGATTATCAGGAGGAGAGTGGTGGAGCACCTGGAACGGAACAGGAGTATAAATGCCAACCAGCACGGATTCACGGAAGGCAAATCCTGTGTCACAAACCTTCTGGAGTTTTATGATAAAATAACAGAAGTAAGACAAGAGAGAGAGGGGTGGGTTGATTGCATCTTCTTGGACTGCAAGAAGGCCTTTGACACAGTTCCTCACAAGAGATTAGTGCAGAAGCTAGAGCATCAGGCGCATATAACAGGAAGGGCACTGCAATGGATCAGAGAATACCTGACAGGGAGGCAACAACGAGTCATGGTACGTAATGATGTATCACAGTGGCACCTGTGACGAGCGGGGGCCCACAGGGTCGGTCTTAGGACCAGTGCTATTTTTGGTATATGTGAACGACATGACGGAAGGGTTAGACTCAGAAGTGTCCCTGTTTGCAGATGATGTGAAGTTAATGAGGAGAATTAAATCTGATGAGGACCAGGCAGGACTTCAAAGAGACCTGGACAGACTGGACACCTGGTCCAGCAAATGGCTTCTCGAATTTAATCCTGCCAAATGCAAAGTCATGAAGATAGGGAAGGGCACAGAAGTCCGCAGACAGAGTATAGGCTAGGTGGACAAAGACTGCAAACCTCACTCAAGGAGAAAGATCTTGGGGTGAGTATAACACCGAGCATGTCTCCGGAAGCACACATCAATCAGATAACTGCTGCAGCATATGGGCGCCTGGCAAACCTGAGAACAGCATTCCGATACCTTAGTAAGGAATCATTCAAGACACTGTACACCGTGTATGTCAGGCCCATACTGGAGTATGCAGCACCTGTTTGGAACCCGCACTTGATAAAGCACGTCAAGAAACTAGAGAAAGTACAAAGGTTTGCAACAAGGTTAGTTCCAGAGCTAAGGGGAATGTCCTATGAAGAAAGATTAAGGGAAATCGGCCTGACGACACTGGAGGACAGGAGGGTCAGGGGAGACATGATAACGACATATAAAATACTGCGTGGAATAGACAAGGTGGACAAGGACAGGATGTTCCAGGGAGGGGACACAGAAACAAGAGGCCACAATTGGAAGTTGAAGACACAAATGAGTCAGAGAGATAGTAGGAAGTATTTCTTCAGTCATAGAGTTGTAAGGCAGTGGAATAGCCTAGAAAATGACGTAGTGGAGGCAGGAACCATACACAGTTTTAAGACGAGGTTTGATAAAGCTCATGGAGCGGGGAGAGAGAGGGCCTAGTAGCAACCGGTGAAGAGGCGGGGCCAGGAGCTAGGACTCGACCCCTGCAACCACAAATAGGTGAGTACAAATAGGTGAGTACACACACACACACACACACAAACACACACACACACACACACACACACACACACACACACACACACACACACACACACACACACACACACACACACACACACACACACAGAAGTGTCCTTGTTTGCAGATGATATGAAGTTTATGAGGAGAATCAATTCGGTCGAAAATCAGGCAGGACTACGAAGAGACCTGGACAGGATACAATCCTGGTCCAGCAACTGCCTCCTTGAATTTAACCCTGCCAAATGCAAAGTCATAAAGATCGGGCAAGGGCAAAGAAGACTGCAGACAGATGTGGCCAAAGACTGCAAACCTTACTCAAGGAAAAAGACCTTGGGGTGAGTATAACACCAAGCATATCTCCTGAGGCGTACATCAATCAGATAACTGCTGCAGCATATGGGCGTCTGGCAAACCTAAGTAAGGAATCGTTCAAGACTCTGTATACCATATACGTCAGGCATATACTGGAATATGCAGCACCAGTTTGGAATCTAAACCTGGTCAAGCACGTCAAGAAATTAGAGAAAGTGCAAAGGTTTGCAACAAGACTAGTCTCAGAGCTAAGGGGATTGTCCTATGATGAAAGGTTAAGGGAAATTGACCTGACGACACTGGAGGACAGGAGGGTCAGGGAAGACATGATAACAACATATAAAATAATGCGTGGAATAGACAAGGTGGACAAAGGATGTTCCAAAGACGGGACACAGAAACAAGGGGTCACAATTGGAAATTGAAGACTCAGATAAATCAAAGGGATGTTAGGAAGTATTTCTTCAGGCAGTGGAATATCCTAGAAAGTAACGTAATGGAGGCGGGAACCATACGTAGTTTTAAGACAAGCTTTGATAAAGCTCATGCAGCAGGGAGAGAGAGGACCTAGTAGCAATCAGTGAAGAGGTAGGGCCAGGAGCTATGACTCGACCCCTGCAACCACCACAAATAGGTGAGTACAAATAGATGAGTACACACACACACAAACACGAGGAGGGTTTCACAGGGATCAGTCCTAGTGTCAGTATAGCTACTGAAATCCCCTATACTTATACTTGTGTAGTATATTGTAAATTGTATCATCCATGTATATATTTAGGCTCCCTTTCAGTAGGCTCAGCAACTAGCATGTGTGACATCACATGATGCCGCATGTGAGTGCTGGGCTCCCTGCGTGAGTCTCACTCCACGCTTAGGTCTAACAGGCAACACACGCAGGCTGGGCCTATCCCTCTCACTCTCTACTAATGTAAGTGATACCACCCAACGACTTGTGTTTAACTCCAACCATCACATCTCTACGAACCCTCCCAACAAATGGTGGCAGTGGTGGGATGCATAAATTTGATATTTACACAGATGTACGGAGATTAACTTCTACCAGCCGACGGACATTTTGTGTTGCCAGCAGGCTTAGTCTAGGAGCTGGTTACTCTGAGCAAGCGTCCACCAGCCTGTTTGCTTCCTGGTTACTGGTCAGTCTTTGTGTCTTAGTGTTTATTTGCTTATTTGCATTACTTCCAAGGGGTTGACCCAGGTTTGCAAATTAAGCCAAGCCAACAAGCCAGTCTGTGGGGGGGGGGGGAAGTCAGGCCCTACACCATCCAGCCTGTCTTAAGTACCAGCCTTGCCTGCTAAGCCAGCTTTCTACCACTGCTATGCTCATCGTTACAAATTCTCAAGCCAGGCTATGTGAAGGGTTAAGCCAAGCAAGCCAGCTACTAACCCAGGTGACTTAACCCAGTACTCAAGCAAGCCATGTGAGTTCCAACCTTCACCATCGCTTTTACTCTAAGTTCCAAGCCATTCTGAGTGCTTGTGCCATCCCTGTGGTGTTGTGGCATTTTGTGGGTTTTTAAGCCAGCCTGGCTTAGAATATTCTTGTGCCTAATGCAGGTGTACCCAGAGCACGTGGGTTACACCACTTTTCCAGTAGGCCCAGCCACCACGTGGTGTCCCAGCGTGCTGCCTCAACCACCCACACCTTTTTATTTATTTATTTATTTATTTATTTATTAATTTGAACATGATACAGTGAAGTACAAAGGAATACAGTTATTACAGTGCAACATGCTAAAGCCCCTTGTATGCAGAGCATTTTTTTTTTACCCTTATAACGGGTCCTAGCACCTTATTTTACGGTTCACATAGCAGGTCAAGACACAAGATTGTTTCACCATACCTGTGCGACAACGAGAAAAGCCTTGCTATGTGGGTTCATCAAGTTTACGCGCAAAGTAGTGGAGTGTTGCACTAGCCACCTTCTTCCACCATCCACCACCCTCATCTCTTTCTCTGACGTCGTTCCAGTGATAATAAATAATATTTTTATACAGACATTTGCGAGTGTTGAGACAATTTTTTTCAGTGATTTCATAGTGACATTTAGTGACTCTTGATTAGACTGTGTTCATTACATCCTGTTTGCAATATTTTTTTCTTTTTTCAGTGTTTAATTTTCGTGCTTTATTTTATGTCTGTTGTGTTGTATTTTTTTTTTATATACTTGAAGTAAGTATTTCAACGTTTTTCCCTGTTGTGTACAATATATGAGCAGTATAAACTTGTATTTACACTTCACAATTATCTTGTGTTCACAGTACTGTGTTCCTTGTCTAGTAATTTATGCAGTGAAGTATTTCAGTAACTTGTTATCTTATAATCTGCATCACAACTCCGTGTTGTCTCAGTTATTTTTTTCTCAGCATTTGCGTATTCTTGCTGTTTTTGTATTAATTCTTTTCCCATTTTTACTGTGTGTTGATCATTCTTTTTGTGTTAATTCTTTTTATTTAGCCAGTGTCTAATTTGTCCTATCTCCACAGACAATAGTGCCATTATTTTGTTGAAGCAAGAGAATTATTTTGCAGTTTTTGTCTACACAAGACCTTACTGCAAGAAAGGACAAAATCAGCAGAGGACAACCAGAATATGGCAGAGCAACAAGAGCAAGCACACACAGAACCATCCCCAGAACCCCACAACCCCACAAACAACAATCCACATGCACAGCTCCCACCCAACACTCAGCTATAGAATCCCACAGTACACTGCCAGGTCCCCCACTCTCACAGACCCCACAGAACACAGTGTTGGAGAGGAAACTGAAGATATGGTAGACCAGCACTGATGGAATAACAAATAAGTGGGAGAAGTGGCACGAAAGACTCAAAGAGGCATCACCAGACATCATAGCTCTCACAGAAACTAAACTCACAGGTATGATAACAGATACCACCTTTCCAGTTACCATCTTTCCAGATACCATCTTTCCTCAGATCCTGAGGAAAGACAGGGAACAGAGGGGGTAGAGGAGTAGCACTGCTGGATAAAAACCGATGGGATTTTGATGAGCTGGAGAGAGGAGACAGAGGAGAAGCAAGAGATTGCAATGTAATTCAGGTGGTAATTGCAGTGATGCAAGAGTATGATGAGAGTAATAGAGCGATGGTTGACACATTGGCAGAAGTGGCCAGAAGGGCTAATGCGAGCAGGGCAAAGCTACTGATCATGGGTGACTTCAGCCACAAGGAAATAGATTGGGAGAACTTGGAGAAACAGGGAAGCTAACAAACGTGGAGTTCTAAGATGATGGAGGTGGTACTGAAAAACTATATGTACCAACATGTAAAGCACACTATCGGAGAGAGAGAGGAAAGGATGAACAGCGAAACTGGACCTAGCATTCACCTTAAGCAATCCAAGTATTGAGGATATCACATATGAAACAATCCTTTGGGCCAGCGATCATATGGTTTTAAGATTCGAATGCTCAGTAGAGCTACAAGTGGAGAGGGAAGCAGGAAGAGCTGGACGAATGAAGCCAAACTACAAGAAAGGGGACTATGTGGGAATGAAGAACTTCCTGAACAGGGTTCAGTGGGACAGAGAACTGGCAGGGAAGTCAGTAAACGAGATGATGGAATATGTGACAACAATATGCAAGGAACCTGAGGAGAGGTTTGTACCCAAGGGTAACAGGAATAATGAAAAAGCCAGGATGAACCCGTGGTTTACCCATAGGTGCAGGGAGGCCAAAACCAAGTGTGCTAGGGATTGGAAGAAGTATAGAAGGCAAAGGACCTAGGAGAATAAGGAGAGCAGTCAAAGAGCCAGAAATGAATATGCATAGTTGAGAAGGGAGGCCCAATGACAAAGTGAAAATGACAGCAGTGAAAACGAAATCTGACCCGAAGCTGTTGTATAGTCACATAAAGAGAAAAACAACAGTCATGGACCAGGTAATCAGACAGGTAATCACATACTGCAAAGTATGTGAGGAAGAAGCTGCTGACCTAGATATCTCAAAGGCGATGGGACCGGATAATATCTCTCCATGGGTCCTGAGAGAGGGAGCAGAGGTGCTATGCATACCTTTAACAACAATATTCAATACATCTATCAAAACAGGGAGATTACCTGAGGTATGGAAGACAGCAAATGTAGTCCCAGTTTTTAAAAAAGGAGACAGACATGAAGCACTAAACTATAGACCAGTGTCACTGACATGTATAGTATTCAAAGTCATAGAGAAGATTATCAGGAGAAGAGTGGTGGAACACCTAGGAAGAAATGAGCTTATCGCCAACAACCAACACAGTTTCAGGGATGGGAAATTCTGTGTCACAAACCTACTGGAGTTCTATGACAAGGTGACAGCAGTAAGACAAGAGAGAAAGGGGTGAGTACATTGCATTTTCTTTGACTGTAAGAAGATGCTTGATACAGTTCCAAGCTCCACACAAATGATTAATGCAAAACTGGAGGACCAGGCAGGGATAACAGGAAAGGCACTACAATGGATCAGGGAATACCTGTCAGGAGACAGCAGCGAGTCATCATGGTACGTGGTAAGGTGTCAGGGTGGGCGACTGTGACGAGTGGGGTTCCACAGGGGCCAGTCTTAGGACCGGTGTTGTTTCTGGTATTTGTGAACGACATGGCGGAAGGAATAGATTCTGAAGTGTCCCTGTTTGCAGATGATGTGAAGTTGATGAGGAGAATTCAGTCAGACGAGGACCAGGCAGAACTACAAAGATATTTGAACAGGCTGCAGGCCTGGTCCAGAAATTGTCTCCTGGAGTTCAACCCCACCAAGTGCAAAGTCATGAAGATTGGGGAAGGGCAAAGAAGACTGCAGGTGGAGTACAGTCAAGGGGGCCAGAGACTACAAACCTCACTCAAGGAAAAAGATCTTAGGCTGAGCATAACACCAGGCACATCTCATGATGCGCACATCAAACAAATAACTGCTGCAGCATATGGGCGCCTAACAAACCTTAGAACAGCATTCTGCCATCTTAATAAGGAATTGTTCATGACCTGGTATTCTGTGTACGTTATCCCCATATTGGAGTATGCGGCACCAGTTTGGAACCCACACCTAGTCAAACATGTAAAGAAACTAGAGAAAGTGCAAAGGTTTGCAACATGATTAGCCCCAGAGGTATGGGGTATGTTCTACGAGAAGAGGTAATGTGAAATCTAGCTGACGACACTGGAGGTAAGGAGAGACAAGGGATATATGATAATGACATAAAATACTGAGAGGAATTGACAAGGTGGACAGAGGCAGTATGTTCCAGAGATGGGATACAGCAACAAGGGGACACAGTTGGAAGTTGAAGACTCAGATGAATCATAGGAATGTTAGGAAGTATTTCTTGGATCACAGAGTAGTCAGAAAGTGGAATAGTTTGGTAAACGATGTAGTGGAGGCAGGATCCATTCATAGATTTAAACAAAGGTATGATGAAGCTCATGGAGCAGGGAGAGTGATCCACTAGCAGCCAGTGAAGAGGGCGTCAGGAGCTATGACTCAACCCTTGCATCCACAACTAGGTAAGTACAACACACAGGTGTGGGTCAGGTCGGAG